AACTATCAATCGGTCTAAACTCCCACAACCACCCAGTCTAAACTCCCACCACCACGCGGTCTAAAATCCCACAACCACATGGTCTAAAGTCCAACCACCAACCGGTCTATACTACCACCACCACCCGGTCTAAACTCCCACCACCACCTGGTCTAAACTCCCACCAACACCTGGTCTAAACTCCCACAACCTCCCAGTCTAAACTCCCACCACCACACGGTCTAAAATCCTACCACCACATGGTCTAATGTCCAACCACCAACCCGTCTATACTCCCACCACCACCCCGTCTAAACTCCCACCACCATCCAATCTAAATTCCCACCACCACCCAGTCTAAATTCCCACCACCACACGGTCTAAATTCCACCCACCACCCGGTCTAAGCTTCCACCACCACCTGGTTTAAACTCCCACCACAACCTGGTAGACTCCTAATACCACCGGGTACAAATTTCCACCACCACCTTGTCTAAAATCCCACCACCACCTGGTCTAATCTCCTACAACCATCCGTCTATACTCCCACCACCACCCAGTCTAAACTCCCACCCCCACCCGGTCTAAACTCCCACCACCACCCAGTCTAAACTTTCACCACCACCCGGTCTAAACTCCCACCACCATATGGTCTAAATTCCCACAACCGACTCGTCTAAACTCCCACGACCACACGGTCTAAACTCTCAACACCACCCGGTCTAAACTCCTACCACCAACAGGAAAAAACTCCAACAACCAACTAGTCTTAAGTCCCAGCACAACTCAGTCTCAACTCCTTCCAGTACTGGTCTAAATTCCCACCACCACCCTATCTAAAATCCAACCATCACGCAGTCTAGACTCCAACCAGCACCCGTCTATACTCCCACCACCACCCAGTCTACACTCCCACCACCATCTCGTCTAAACTCCCACCACCACCCGGTCTAAACTCCCACCACCACCCAATCTAAACTCCCACCACCACCCAATCTAAACACCCACCACTATCCGGTCTAAACTCCCACCACAACCCGGTTTAAACTCCCACCACCACCCGGTTTAAACTCCAACCACCACCCAGTCCGAACTCCCACAACCACCTAGTCTAAACTCCCACCCTCATCCAATCTGAACTCCAATCATTAACCGGTCTTGACTCCCACCAACACCCGGTCTAAACCCCCACCAACACCGGGTCTAAACTCCAACTATCATTCGGTCTAAACTCCCACAACCATCCAGTCTAAACACCCACCACCACGCGGTCTAAAATCCCACCACGACATGGTCTAAATTCCAACCACCAACCGGACTATACTCCCACCACCACCCGGTCTAAACTCCCACCACCACCCGGTTTAAACTCCGACCACCACCTTCTTTAAACTCCAACCACCACCCAGTCTAAACTCCCACCATCATTTAGTCTAAACCCCAACCACCAACCTGTCTAAACTCCCACCACCATCTGGTCTAACCTCCCACCAACACCCGGTCTAAGCTCCCACCAACTCCAGGTCTAAACGCCAACTATCAATCGGTCTAAACTCCCACAACCACCAAGTCTAAACTCCCACCACCACGCGGTCTAAAATCCCACCACCACATGGTCTAAAGTCCAACCACCAACCGGTCTATACTACCACCACCAACCGGTCTTAACTCCCACCACCACCTGGTCTAAACTCCGACCAACACCTGGTCTAAACTCCCACAACCTCCCAGTCTAAACTCCCACCACCACACGGTCTAAAATCCCACCACCACATGGTCTAAGGTCCAACCACCAACCGGTCTATACTCCCACCACCACCCCGTCTAAACTCCCACCACCATCCAATCTAAATTCCCACCACCACACGGTCTAAATTCCACCCACCACCCGGTCTAAGCTCCCACCACAACCTGGTTTAAACTCCCACCACAACCTGGTAGACTCCTAACACCACCCGGTACAAATTTCCACCACCACCTGGTCTAAAATCCCACCACCACCTGGTCTAATCTCCTACAACCATCCGTCTATACTCCCACCACCACACAGTCTAAACTCCCACCCCCACCCGGACTAAACTCCCACCACAACCCGGTCAAAACTCCCACCACCACCCGATCAAAACTCCCACCACCACCCAGTCTAAACTCCCACCACCACCCGGTCTAAACTCCCACCACCACTCGGTCTAAACTCCCATCACCACCCAATCTAAACTCCCACCACCACCCGGTTTAAACTCCAACCACCACCCGGTCTAAACTCCCACCACCATCCGATCTAAAATCCCACCACCACCTAGTCTGAATTCCCACCACCACACGGTCTAAATTCCCACCACCCTCTGGTCTAAACTCCCACCAACACCCGGTCTAAACTCCCACCAACACTGGGTCTAAACTCCAACTATTACTCGGTCAAAACTCCCACAACCACCCTGTCTAAACTCCCACCACTATGCGGTCTAAAATCCCACCACCACATGGTCTAAAATCCAACCACCAACCGGTCTATACTCCAACCACCACCCGGTCAAAACTCCCACCACCAACCGGTCTTAAATCCCACCACCCGGTCTAAATTCCCACCACCACCTGGTCTAAATTCCCACCACCATCCGATCTTAAATCCCACCACCACCCAGTCTGAATTCCCACCACCACACGGTCTAAATTCCACCAACCACCCGGTCTAAAATCCCACCACTGCGTGTCTTAGCTCCCACCACCACTACCAGCTCGACGTGGTCTCAACTCCGACCACCAACCGGTCTAAATTTCCACCACCACCTAGTCTAAAATCGCACCACCACCTGGTCTAATCTCCCACAACCATCCGTCTATACTCCCACCACCACCCAATCTAAACTCCCACCACCACTCGGTCTAAACTCCCACCACCACCCGGTCAAAACTCCCACCACCGCACGCTCTAATCTCCTACCATCACCCGGTCTAAACTCCAACCACCACCCAGTCTAAACTCCCATCACCACCCGGTCTAAACTCCCACCACCACCCGGTCTAAAATTCCACCACCACCCCGTCTAAACTCCCACCACCACCCAGTCTAAACTCCCACCATCATCCTGTCTAAACTCCCACAACCACCTGGTCTAAACTCCCACAACCACCCAGTCTAAATTCTCACCACCATCCGGAATTAACTCCCGCAACCACCTGGTCTAAACTCCCACCACCAGCGGGTCTAAACTCCCACCAGGAAATGGTCTAAACTCCCACAACCAACCCGTCTAAACTCCCAACACCACCCAGTCTAAACTCCCACCACCAACAAGAAACAACACCTACAACCACCCTGTCTATACTCCCACCACCGGTCTAAAATCCAACCACTACCTATCTAGACTCCCACCACTACCCAGTCTATACTCCCACCACCATCCGGTAAAAAATCCCACAACCACCCAGTCTAAACTCCCACCACCACCTGGTCTAAACACCCACCACCACCCAGTCTAAACTCCCACCACGACCCGGTCTACACTCCCACCACCACCCAGTCTAAACTCCCACCACCACCCCGTCTATACTCCCACCACCATCCAATCTAAACTCCCACCACCACCTGGTCTAAACTCCCACCACCACCTGGTCTAAACTCCCACCACCGCCCGTCTTAGCTCCTACCACCAACCGGTTTAAACTCCCAGCACGACCTGGTCTCAACTCCTACCACCACCCGGTCCAAATTTCCACCACCACTTGGTCTAAAATCCCACCACCACCTGGTCAAATCTCTCACAACGATCCGTCTATACTCCCACCACCGCCCAATCTAAACTCCCTACACCACACAGTCTAAACTCCCACCCCCACTGGGTCTAAATCCCCACCACCACCCAGTCTAAACTCCCACCACCACCCGGTCTAAAATTCCACCACCACTGGAAGTGTGTCCGCAGATCCGCGTACATGATTGCTTTTCCTTCTTGCTAAAACTGCTCCCTACTGCCGCTGCTCACTAGAAGTGTGTCGGCAGATCTGCGTACACGACTGCTTTTCCTTCTTGCTAAACCTGCTCCCTTCTACCGCAGCTCACTGGAAGTGTGTCCGCTGATCTGGGTACACGACTGCTTTTCCTTCTTGCTAAACCTGCTCCCTTCTACCGCAGCTCACTGGAAGTGTGTCCGCAGATCTGGGTACACGATTGCTTTTCCTTCTTGCTAAACCTGCTCCCTACTGCCACTGTTCACTCTAAGTGTATCCGCAGATCTACGTACACGACTGCTTTCAATTCTTGCAAAACCTGCTCCCTACTGCCGCTGCTCCCTAGAAGTGTGTCCGAAGATCTGCGTACACAACTGCTATTTCTTCTGGGTAAACCTGCTCCCTCCTGCCGTTGCTCACTAGAAGTGTATCCGCAGATCTGCGTACACGACTGCTTTTCCTTCATGCTAAACCTGCTCCCTTCTACCGCTGCTCACTGGAAGTGTGTCCACAGATCTGTGTACACGACTGCTTTCCCTTCTTGCTAAACCTACTCCCTACTGCCGCTGCTCACTGGAAGTGTGTCCGCAGATCAGGGTACACGACTGCCTTTCCTTCTGGCCAAACCTGCTCCCTACTGCCGCTGCTTACTGGAAGTGTGACCGCAAATCTGCATACACGACTGCCTTTCCTTCTGGCTAAACCTGCTCCCTACTGCCGCTGCTCACCGAAAGTGTGTCCGCAGATCTGCGTACATGACTGCTTTTCCTTCTGGCTAAACCTGCTCCCTACTGCCATTGCTCATTGGAAGTGTGTCCGCAGATCTGCGTACATGACTGCTTTTCCTTCTAGCTAAACCTGCTCCCTACTCCCGCTGGTCAATGGAAGTGTGTCCGCAGATCTGCGTACACGACTGCTGTTATAATCACAATAGGCTCAGATGTGCCTATAATGAGAGATAGAGAGCACAGTCGGATTTCTGTGAGACGGCTTCAAATATTGATAACGATCTGCTGGCTGACTCAAACGGTGATCTGTAACTTGGATCTGGAAAGCACTGGATAGTAATGACATAGACTCACAATTCATTCCATGCCATGCATGCACACACACAAACAAGGACGACAAGCCGATTGCAAGCCATAGGGTTGCACCAACAAACTCCCCCTCGGATTGTTGGCCTTAGAATCTGCTCCCCTTAGTTTAGAGCCATCCCAGCAAGCTTGCAACACTTCCAATGCTGCTGCTCAACCAGCCTCTTGGACATCATATCAGCTGGCTGCGCCGTCGTCTTCACATAGTGCAACTCCACTTCACACTAGGTTACCACGCTCCTCACCCAATGCCACTTCACCTTCATGTGCTTGGTAAGGCCATGAAGAACCGGGTTCTTAGCCAATGCAATAGCACCCTGGCTATCAGAATAGAGTGGGGTAGGTCCTTGCTGCTCCTCCCCCAATTCAGCTAGCAAACGCCGCTGCCACACAACCTCCCTTATGGCACGGAAGAGTGCCATGTACTCGGACTCCACCGAGCTCAATGCTTGGTCCACTTGCTTCTTGCTCTCCCAAGCTGTTGGGCCTCCACCAACACAGCAGATGAAGCCTCCCACACTTGTCATATCCTCTGGTTCTGATGCCCAAGATGCATCAGAGAAGGCGGTGAGAAAGAGCCTCCCGGGTTCGACTCCATCCGCACCCTTTTGACGCCTTTGTGCCGCCGCGGAGTATTGCAGTCCAACAGTTGCTGTTTGGCCAAGGTACTTGGCCACCCTCTCTCCAGCTGCTACCTGCTCCTCATTAGGGCATTGGACAACCCTAGCCAGCTGCTCGGTAGCAAAGGCTGCATCCGGCCTTGTGTGAACGGCCGCATACATGAGGCTGCCCACCAAGGAATGAAAACGACGCCTCTCCTCTTCACCAACACTTTCCTCCGCTGGTCCTTTCACACACTTGAACCCTGAGGGTAGAGGAGTAGCCACATGACCTTCACTCTTCCCAAAGTTTGCAGCCAAGGCCTCCAAGTACTTCTTTTGATGCACTCGCATCCACCGCTTCTCCACATCTCGCTCAATGTGAAGCCCAAGGTAGTAGTTGACGTCACCAAGGGTCTTGCACTTGAACTTGTCTTGAAGCTTCAGCATCACCTCCTTCACAAGGTCAGAGGAGGGTGAGAATATGAGGATGTCATCCACATAAACCACCATGAAGCTCCTCTGCTCCCCCTCGCCAAGCATGAACAATGATTGATCGGCCGTTGAGGGAGTGAAACCGATCGCCTCCAAGACTTCCCGCAGCTTGATGTACCATTGCCTAGGGGCTTGCTTGAGGCCATAGAGTGCTTTCTTCAGCTTCCACACTCTGCCACTCCCATCATTGTACCCCTCTGGCTGCTCCATGTAGGTCTCTTCCTCCAAAACTCCGTTGAGGAAGGCCGTTACGATGTCCATTTGCTTCACCACCCATCCTTTGATGGCCGCCGCGGCGAAGAGAGTTCGAAGGGTTGTACCCTTCACCACAGGAGCATACACTTCATTGTAGTATTTCTTCTCCTGCTGCTGGTACCCCTTGGCTACAATTCTGCTCTTGTAGCGCTCAATGTTGCCGTCGGCGTCGGTCTTGCGCTTGAAGAGCCACTTGGAAGAGATCGCCTTACGCCCCGGAGGTAGGTTCACCAAGTCAAACGTGTCGTTCTCAATGATGCTCCCCATTTCTTCATCTGAGGCCTTCTTCCACTCCTTCCCATTGGGGCCCTCCCAAGCCTCCTTGGGATTTGTAGGCTCCCCCGGTATCTCCACCGGAGAGAAGAAGGCAAAAGCGCACTCCTCGCTTTCATCTTCCGCATCATCGCCTAGCATGAGAGCCGAACCGGTCAAGGTTGAGTTGGCTGCTCCTCCAAGCCGTTCATAGCTCAACCTATTGGGGGGCTGAGTCCTCCTTCTCCCCCTTCCTTCCTCCTCTGCTGCAGGGACTTGAATGCTCTCATGGCTTTGCGGTAAATCCGGTCGGTTCCCGCGAGCACATGTAGCACGAGGCGGAAGTGGCGGTGCACGCTCATTACCTTGCTTCACCTCCTCCTCCTCCTCATCCCCATTCATTTGGGGAGATTGCCTCGTGATTGTGCTGCTGCTACTCAGCTCCAAGGGCAGCTCCACATGCTCCAAGCTGGTCCTCTTCACCTCTCCAAGCCGCACACCAATCTTCGCTTGGTTCTCCGCCTTCCACTCCTTGTACGGTAAGTTCTCCATGAACTTGCAATCTCTGCTCACCAGGAACTTCTTGGTAAATGGGTCCCATAGAAGCCATCCCTTGCTGTTTTGAGCCATGCCCAGGTGCACGGCCCATGTTGCCTTGGCATCAAGCTTGTTGTGCCGAAGTTTCTTAGGCACAAGTGCCATGCACATGCACCCGAACACCCGAAGCATATCCACCTTCGGCTTCCTTCCAATCCACTCCACATAGGGCACCCATTTGTCTTCTCCCACATGAGTCAAGGCTCTGTTCTTGGCCACAGAAGCATGTCGCACCGCATCCGGCCAAAAGTAATTGGGAAGACCGGCTTCAATGAGAAGTTCCCGAGCCGTCTCCGTGAGTGTCTGATTCGCACGCTCGGCGATGCCGTTCATTGCAGGAGAGTAGGGCATGGTAAGAGAGTGCCTTATGCCCTGCTTCTTCAGCCAAGTTGAGAAATCCTTGCTCAGGAACTCTCCCCCACGGTCAGTGCGAATCGCCTTCACAAGTCGGTCTTGTTGCCGCTCCACCATCGGCAACCAATCGGTCTTCACCGTTTCAGCTACGTCACTCTTCTTGGGCAGCACGTACACCCAGGTCATGCGAGTGTAGACGTCCACAATGGTGAGGAAATACTCTGCTCCAGCAGATCCAAGCTTCAAGGGGCCCACCACATCCATCACCACCTCATCAAGTGGTGCCTTCGCCGTTGTCTCCGAGCTATGGAACGGGTAGCGGGTGAACTTGGCTTGCATGCATGTTGGACAGCCAAGCACCTCATTGGGCTCCCCCTTGACACGTATCTGTTATAATCACAATAGGCTCAGATGTGCCTAAAATGAGAGAAAATGTGCACAGTTAGAATTCCGTCAGCCAGCTTCAAATATTGATGCCGATCTGATGTGTGCCTCAAACGGTGATCTGTAAATTGGATCTGGAGCGCGTTGTTGTCGCCTATCAGCAGCAAGTTGAATCATAAAATTCCATGAAGATTTGACGACGCTATGGCGGTTTGACTGGCAGGAGGTATAGCAGCCACTATAGTCTTAGGAGTACAAAAAAACTTAGGAAGAAGAATTCGAGAGGGAGATGGTTCCCAGCCTCTACATAACCCAAGAGCCGAGGTCCAGGTTGGTGGTACACCACCACAGAGTCCCCAACCACGAAGAGTCTCAAAACAAACCCTCCAAGGGGCTACACCAAGTGAAATGTAACACTACACGAAGTAGCGTTACTATTTTCACTATTTAATATTTATCCGCGTCCCTTGGGCTTGAAATCTTGAGCTCTTGGTCTTGGTTCTTCAAGATAAATTCTTCTTGAGTTGATGGGGGCTTGCTGCACACACCTGCGACGCGATGGACACTTCACACTTGACAAAATAGAAAAACACATGCGACACGCAAACGACGACTTGACATGCGAGTTGTAAAAACTCACTAATGTCTTGACCGACACACACCACATTGTGAGACACCATTCAAACACACACACAAGCACTAGATAGCAATGACATAGACTCACAAGTCATTCCATGCCATGCATGCACACACACAAACACGGACGACAAGCCGAGTGCAAGCCATAGGGTTGCACCAACAAACTCCCCCTCGGATTGTTGGCCTTAGAATCTGCTCCCCTTAGTTCAGAGCCATCCCAGCAAGCTTGCAACACTTCCAATGCTGCTGCTCAACCAGCCTCTTGGTCATCATATCAGCAGGCTGCGCCGTCGTCTTCACGTAGTGCAACTCCACTTCACCCGCGGTTACCATGCTCCTCACCCAATGCCACTTCACCTTCATGTGCTTGGTAAGGCCATGAAGAACGGGGTTCTTAGCCAATGCAATAGCACCCTGGCTATCACAGTAGAGGGGGGTAGGTCCTTGCTGCTCCTCCCCCAATTCAGCTAGCAAACGCCGCTGCCACACAACCTCTCTTATGGCACGGAAGAGTGCCATGTACTCGGACTCCACCGAGCTCAATGCTTGGTCCACTTGTTTCTTGCTCTCCCAAGCTGTTGGTCCTCCACCAACACAGCAGATGAAGCCTCCCACACTTGTCATGTCCTCTGGTTCTGATGCCCAAGATGCATCGGAGAAGGCGGTGAGAAAGAGCCTCCCGGGTTCGACTCCATCCGCACCCTTTTGACGCCTTTGTGCCGCCGCGGAGTATTGCAGTCCAACAGTTGCTGTTTGGCCAAGGTACTTGGCCACCCTCTCTCCAGCTGCTACCTGCTCTTCATTAGGGCATTGGACAACCCTAGCTAGCTGTCCGGTAGCAAAGGCTGCATCCGGCCTTGTGTGAACGGCCGCATACATGAGGCTGCCCACCAAGGAATGAAAACGGCGCCTCTCCTCTTCACCAACACTTTCCTCCGCTGGTCCTTTCACACACTTGAACCCTGAGGGTAGAGGAGTAGCCACATGACCTTCACTCTTCCCAAAGTTTGCAGCCAAGGCCTCCAAGTACTTCTTTTGATGCACTCGCATCCACCGCTTCTCCACATCTCGCTCAATGTGAAGCCCAAGGTAGTAGTTGACGTCACCAAGGGTCTTGCACTTGAACTTGTCTTGAAGCTTCAGCATCACCTCCTTCACAAGGTCAGAGGAGGGTGAGAATATGAGGATGTCATCCACATAAACCACCATGAAGCTCCTCTGCTCCCCCTCGCCAAGCATGAACAATGATTGATCGGCCGTTGAGGGAGTGAAACCGATCGCCTCCAAGACTTCCCGCAGCTTGATGTACCATTGCCTAGGGGCTTGCTTGAGGCCATAGAGTGCTTTCTTCAGCTTCCACACTCTGCCACTCCCATCATTGTACCCCTCTGGCTGCTCCATGTACGTCTCTTCCTCCAAAACTCCGTTGAGGAAGGCCGTTACGATATCCATTTGCTGCACCACCCATCCTTTGATGGCCGCCGCGGCGAAGAGGGTTCGAAGGGTTGTACCCTTCACCACAGGAGCATATACTTCATTGTAGTCCTTCTTCTCCTGCTGCTGGTACCCCTTGGCTACAAGTCTGCTCTTATAGCGCTCAATGTTGCCGTCGGCGTCGGTCTTGCGCTTGAAGAGCCACTTGGAAGAGATCGCCTTACGCCCCGGAGGTAGGTTCACCAAGTCAAACGTGTCGTTCTCGATGATGCTCCCCATCTCTTCATCTGAGGCCTTCTTCCACTCCTTCCCATTGGGGCCCTCCCAAGCCTCCTTGGGATTTGTAGGCTCCCCCGGTATCTCCACCGGAGAGAAGAAGGCAAAAGCGCACTCCTCGCTTTCAGCTTCCGCATCATCGCCTAGCATGAGAGCCGAACCGGTCAAGGTTGAGTTGGCTGCTCCTCCAAGCCGTTCATAGCTCAACCTATTGGGGGGCTGAGTCCTCCTTCTCCCCCTTCCTTCCTCCTCTACTGCAGGGACTTGGATGCTCTCATGGCGTTGCTGCAAATCTGCTCGGTTCCCGCGAGCACTTGTAGCACGAGGCGGAAGTGACGGTGTACGCTCATCACCTTGCTGCACCTCCTCCTCCTCTTCTCCCCCATTCCTTTGAGGAGATTGCCTTGTGATTGTGCTGCTGCTACTCAGCTCCAAGGGCAGCTCCACATGCTCCAAGCCGGTACTCTTCACCTCTCCAAGCCGCACACCAATCTTCGCTTGGTTCTCCGCCTTCCACTCCTTGTACGGTAAGTTCTCCATGAACTTGCAATCTCTGCTCACCAGGAACTTCTTGGTAAATGGGTCCCAAAGAAGCCATCCCTTGCTGTTTTGAGCCATGCCCAAGTGCACGGCCCATGTTGCCTTGGCATCAAGCTTGTTGTGCCGAAGTTTCTTAGGCACAAGTGCCATGCACATGCACCCGAACACCCGAAGCATATCCACCTTCGGCTTCCTTCCAATCCACTCCACATAGGGCACCCATTTGTCTTCTCCCACGTGAGTCAAGGCTCTGTTCTTGGCCACACAAGCATGCCGCACCGCATCCGGCCAAAAGTAATTGGGAAGACCGGCTTCAATGAGAAGTCCCCGAGCCGTCTCCGTGAGTGTCCGATTCGCACGCTCGGCAATGCCGTTCATTGCAGGAGAGTAGGGCATGGTAAGAGAGTGCCTTATGCCCTGCTTCTTCAGCCAAGTTGAGAAGTCCTTGCTCAGGAACTCTCCCCCACGGTCAGTGCGAATCGCCTTCACAAGTCGGTCTTGTTGCCGCTCCACCATCGGCAACCAATCGGTCTTCACCGTTTCAGCCACGTCACTCTTCTTGGGCAGCACATATACCCAAGTCATGCGAGTGTAGACGTCCACAATGGTGAGGAAGTACTCAGCTCCAGCAGCTCCAAGCTTCAAGGGGCCCACCACATCCATCACCACCTCATCAAGTGGTGCCTTCGCCGTTGTCTCCGAGCTATGGAACGGGTAGCGGGTGAACTTGGCTTGCATGCATGTTGGACAGCCAAGCACCTCATTGGGCTCCCCCTTGACACGTATCCCACTGACCATGTCTTGCTTGACTATCTGCTGCAAAATGGGCAATGCCACATGCCCCATTCGCCGATGCAAGGTCAGCCAATCACACTCTCCCGTAGCGGAGGTCGGGTTGGAGAAAGCGGCACTCGCAATTGTGCCCCACAAGCTCTCTCCTTTCTCCTTCGCCGCTGCTGCTTTGCTGATCTTATGATTCTCCTCCTCATTTCCACCACCTTTGGCTGCTGCACCACTCTCCTTGGATTCACATGCCTTACTGGTCTCTC